AAACGCCAAAACTTTTTAACAGAATCTGTAGCACGCTCGACAAATAATCTGAAATCTGTAAATATTACACAACATTAAGAGTGATGTCGTGCATCATTTAGTATGTTCTTTATCTCTTTAAAGTCGAATGTCGCCGAAATAACCTTACGTATGATACATCACAAAGTTGAAACTGTGGGTTTGTTTTTGTTCGCTTATACTTCGAGAAAATACCGATTAGCACCAAATTTGGGCCACAACTCCAAAAACTTCCTTGGGTTCGAGTCCTGACGAGGAAGGTCTACGCACGTCCAAAACTAAGCAAACATGAGGAACGGCGCCAAGGCAGATTTGTTCGTTTCGGAGAAGATTGCAGGAACCAAGATCACAAACACCAAAAAACTGTCCTTGGTTCGAGTGTCGGTAAAGATTTTGGGTTTAGGGACAATTTCTTCGTAAATATACACAGCATGCATAAACTCAGTGATGGCACAAGACTCTGGCAAACCGACGCCAAACGTCATGACGCATAGTCAAAACTGGGAATACAGCAGAAATGAGCCTCGGGAAGCATACAACACTAGCAAACCGACGCCGAGTATAGAGAAGAAAACTATCACGACGCCAAGCGCCAAAACGTGGATAATGGTTGACATATCTAACCTAACCAAACCCTAGCCCAACTAAATCCAATCTGACTTAATCTAAACCAACCCTACGCAAAACAAAGCAACCAAAACTTAATTGCCCTGACGTAAAGTACCTTGCGTAACCTAACCAAGCCTAACCTAACCTTAACACAGCTAGACAAACTCGCCTTTCTCGCCAAATTCGCTCGGGTCTCACAAGCCACCAAAAACAACGCTTTACCATTACCAAGATGCTTGTTAACGCTCTTTAAGGAAATTACCGCTGTTTACACTTGGAATTATATGAAACATAAAACGTGTAGACTTGATTATCAGAGACAGGCGTGTACATGTACAAGCAGGGTTAAAGAATTCAAAACATTCTGTTGTATAAAGTCAAAGGGCATACAAAACTGTTTAATATAGTACTAAAATTCCCTTACATGTTATTTGTTAGTTTTTTATTCGTGTAATTACAGTATGAACAAGTCCGAGCATCGTCCCACTACCCAGAGACAGCAATGCTACCCCAACCAGGCAAACAGTCCTAGCACAAGATAAACAAAAGCAAAACTTGCATCCTGACAGAAGCAATTGACAGTCAGTTCCACCATGCTGTCTTCATTAATGACAAGTGTTAATTAGCGGCTTGACAACTTGACTTGAACCATCATACGCCTGTTTCATTTCATACTGGACAGACGCCATTTCCGACGCGAGGAGTTCAGCCGAACGGTGCCAATTGTCACGTAACTGGTTCGGCCATGTTACGTCATTTACATAAAAAACATTAGTCCACACAACTTCCGCGCAGATGGGCCACCGTCCAGCAACTCCAAGAACAAGGATCGTTTGTTGTGCCTGCACATCTTTATCTCAAAATACTCGGTGGAACATGTGTACCTCACACACATGAAGTTAAACAATCTTCTTACTCGCCACTGTGAGAACCTACAGTGAATGTAACTGTACACAAAAGTAAACTGGAGGGACAGAATCTTACTTCAAGCATGCAGACAAGCGTTTTCTTGGATGTAGAAAACAACTAACATTAGTAAAGACGTAATGGCAGTGGTATGAACCGAGTTTTTAAATATCAATAACATAGACTTTTGACATGATTCTAAAGTTATCTTGCAGGGCTACATACGTCCCAATACTCGAAGACACCTCTCCCAAATGAATGCAATTGTATGAAGCAAAGTAAACTCCAAGAGTAATAAATAAACCAACACTAAATATCTAAGTAAAATATAGGCTATTTAATAATGAACACTCTAGCCAAAATAATTAAAATAACAGTAAATTATTAGAATTTAAAAGCAAGACTTGCGTGTCTCATTCCTCAAAGCGAATGAAATTCTTAACTGGGGAAGATTTGTGGAATTTAAAATGGAAACTATACTTTCCCATCATCTCGATGTAAGCATTTTCCTAAGGATTCTACTGAGATGTTACCATGACGAGTTAAAGGTTGGAAAAAGTTCCAATTCTGCCAGCTCTGTCACTCAGACTAACGTGCTGTATGATGCGTGCAATCGAATAGACGAACAGACAGGCGTGGAAATAAAACATCCACACAAGTAGCAATCGCTTTAGTTCTCAACACATGCTTGTCAAAAAACTGTTACAAAATCTCAAAATTAAAACGTGTTGCGTTCATCAACGAGCTAAGCCAATCTCGAATAATTATCTGATTTATTTAATGCGATAAACGATGCACGCAGGAGATAAATATGTAAAAGAAACTTCAGTTGGAAAACTTCAAAGAATCTTGAGAAACCTATGCGTAGGTGAAAATACTATATAATAATATTAAATTGAATCTTAAAGAAATAGTACATGAAGAAGTGGATTGGACTAAACAGGTTCAGGATACGAAGCAACAGTAGGCGATAATAAATACGGTTGCATAAAAGAGGCGTGTTTCTTTACTACTCTCCTAGAAAGACCCAGGACCATTAACCTAGTCAATTCCTTCCACGTTCTTAAAATCACGTATTGCATGCGGCATGTAATTCCGGCCTACGAAAGCTTATAAACTCCTTCGAGAGCCATCTTCCAGACATTGCTTAAATTAGAACGTCAGGAACTGAAGTTACTGTTTCTAAACCTAGATGTCTGTGCGCCATGCGCATGAACGAGAACTAGTCTTGAATTTTGGACACCGACCAAATCTGGTTCTACAAAGGGCCCACCCAACCTGCAGCTCGCGGGCAACATGTTGCTCGCGAAGACAATTGAAACAAGAAAGCGTTTTTAACCCTTTCCCTGGCAACGGCGCGACAGAATTCCCAAGCAATTCCACCTATTTCTTAACAAACTATGACAGAAAACTTACCACCAGTTCCATATTCCCAAGTGACCCTATCATAAATCCTTATTGTTAGCGGGATAAAAATAACTTTGTCGACGATTGCCGACGTGCATTGTTACGGGGATGTTTTCCAGTTATTTATTATTATTTAGTATTCTGTCTGACGACAGGTCCATATGAACAGGATTCTTCCATCCTTTTCTCGGACTGGGACCTGTTCATATACGTTCTTGGCAGATGATCCAGAAGTGGTTTGCCATTGCCTTCCTCTGAGTGTGAATGGAGTAATTGTTGGGATGCCACAGAGAAACTTCAGTTACATACATAATTATACGTATACATTCCACAGTGTATATATTGATCTTCATGTTGCCAGCAAACAGACCAAATTTTGCCGAAGTTGCCCGCACAACAAAAAAGGTTGGGCAGGCCTGTTCTGCAGGGTAAATAAATGGATCAGGCTGTAGTGCAGCTTCTCGGAACCGAAGGCTGGCTTCTAAAGCTCAGTCGATAGAGCTATCTTAACAGCGGCATGACTATAATATTACAATAAAACATGGGCCAATAAAAGCGACCATTTCCATGCTACGAACGAGATACCTCGCTTATACATTGCTCAGATTCTGCTGTGAGCTTTTCATCCATATAAATCATAAACTATCGTGTACCAATAAATTACGGCACTTAGCAGATACATGGCGAGCAACACTGGAAATAAGCGTACTCCAGAGAGTACACACGGTCTTTTAATATCAGTCTTTTCTATCTGCATCTCTCATTTTCTCATGTGACACGAACGTTACATCGGTTCGTATCGGCCACCATACCTTTAAATTTACATTACGCTCAAACAGAACTTTTGAAATTTCTATAACCGGCTATGAATAATTAGTTATAAAACGGTAAACTCTCTGCCCCTGATATTTATAATGCCAAGGAGACTTATTTCAGTGACAAGGCACAAGTCCATTCTTTCTTGGCTTTACAACAATTTAGTGACGTACACTACAATGTATCATATTTTAAAAGCGTTTAAACAAGGCATATATTTAGCAATATTCCATAAAGAAAAAACATCTATAATCTACACTGTTGATTAGTTATGTCAGGAATATGTTAGTGTATAACACACCAACAACGAAAAATGCAAAACAGCAAAGAATGTATATTTTAAAAACTCGGTGTAATTTTGTGTAGGGTTTTGTGGTCTTCTGGTTCAGAGTAAAGACAGAGGTGATACGTTCTTATGTAAAGCTAGTGCCACTACAAGGCAACACGAAGTCAACCCAAAAGACCACGGTTCAGCCGTGAGAACCTCAACTCTATTTCGACTTCTTTAGGATAACGAAACACACAACTACGAAGATACTCAGCACAATGGCTGTGTGCTCCGTGTACAGGATATGTTGTGAACCGGACAATCTGCTTAAATACCTACGCGAACAGCCGAAAATGATGGTAATATGATAGGATTGCAGCCGTCCAGAATTAGCACCACGATGTTGTCAGTGCGGACTATAAACACAGGTTAAGATAAGCGCAGGAAAGTGGGCCAACCTACTAAACATGAACGAAACGCACTCACCACTTGCGTGTTACATTTAGGACTCCCAAAGAATAACCAACTCCACGAAACAGTTCCTTCCTTTCAGAGCAACAGCAGACTCCCGAATATCCGGGGATTCGTGAGCACACCAAAAATACCCTAGTAGTAGCTAGTAGCTCGTGCTACTATTTACAATTTCCGACCACAATTTAAGATCCCACCACTATTTACAATTTCTATGCAAAAACAGACAATCTGAAACTAGTCCAATATAATTTCTGTCCTGTTACAACTTGTAACTTGCCATCTATTTACAAGTTACACACTAATATTCGTCTACAAATTGAGACCTGGCCACTTTTTTACAGCAAGTCTGACATACTTTGAGACTCGATTACCACTTCCAATTTTTGGGCTAGTTCTGTTCACATTTCCATTCCGGGCTGTTTTATCCCCGACGTTTACTAAAACACCACAGTTGTGTAACTACACCATCTGTCAATATTAATTGATGTATAGGGCTACTCACCGACACCGGACCCTGGGAGTGCCGCGTCTCATACCGCTCCGAGGTGACGCTCCTTGTTGTGCCATAATCTCCTCCATATCCTACAGGATCTCGTCCCCGGGTGCCATTCAGCGATCCATATCCAGAACCGGACCCACTACCGGGTGACGTCAACCCATTGGTTGGGGATATCGTGTTCTGGAGATCTGCGAGTAATGCATCTGCAAATCAAGAATGACTAGACCTTAATTTCGTTATGGAATTATTTACTCCAGTTCTAATACACTACAGTTCTTTACATTACAGTTATGTCTGTTAAAAATATAGTCAATTAGCGGTGCATTTGACGACGATTTTCAACTGCATGTTGCAGGTGCATAACATCGACAATTATGATAATAATTTCAATTTAGAAGGTCAGGAAAGGAAAAGGTCGCCGCCTACTTTAAAGTATTCTTATCCGGCGAGACCTTGGAAAAGCACGGAACAGTTTTTGGACCTCAATTTTGTTTCCCCCGGGGATTATAACAAATTCTGACCACAGGCCTGTAATTCATCACTGGGTTCTCGTGTTTTAATGATGTTATTTCAAGTGCAGAAGTAATGTAGCGTCAGATGAGATGTGAAGGTGATCAGGAATGAGGGAAGAACATGTAAGGCGACAGCCGTAACCTACTTTAAATTATCCCGGCATTCGCCAGAACGTACTGGATTCTGGGGCCCACTCAACCATCTCTTCAATGGTTTCCGGCATGTTTTCATGGAAGCACAGCGACCGAGATAAAGCTGACCACACGCCTCCACCCGGCGACGAGGTACGAAAGCACCGTGTCGTTTACGAAACTTCGTATTTTGCAATCAATCATTCGTAGCAACACTTCAAAAATTCTGAAGCCAACTCCATCTTGTGCTTGCAAATCTGCCAAAAGATTACCTTCATACCTCGTCCCTTCCTTGAGAAAGTGCCTCCTAGACCACCACTGTCTACGTTGTGTCTTTCAGTGGACATTGATATACGCACAGCGCAGATTCCAGCCACAGGACGATGTTTTGATCTGGCTGATCAGTGGGACGCGAAACAATGTTTGCCGACAATTCTCGTGGGTGTGTACGAACACTTACGTGCGAACAGAGCGACATGCACGCGGACCTCGGAGGCAGTTCTCGAATTTATTTTTTTAAAAACGCGCCTACAAATTCGCCAACCGTCTTCTTCTGGATGGACTCGACCAAAAGACACTGCGTAATACTACCCTGTGCTGAGCAGTGCATTCTTCATCTCCTAAAGCCTGGCGCTAAGAGGAATTAGTATCCTATCTCTCGCACACACTTCATTATCTGACTTAAGGAGCTCTAGTGTTTATCAGTAACTTACCAGGTACTGTTTACATCTACTTTAAGCAGCAATCATGTCCTCATTCCACGCACAGGGCATAAGATGGGCCAGAACATTCGTTCTGCACTTCAAACAAAGAAAGGCTGAACACCAATCGCCTTTAGCTCATTTCCCCTACTTTTCATTATCTATTCTGTTTCTTCCTTGTTTGCCGTCTCTCTCTCTCTCTTCCCTGATCTTTCCCTCTGCAGTAGACTCCTGATTATCCGGGAGGGATTAACCGAGGTCTATCTGGTTTAACCGAAAACTAAAAATTAATTTAGAAAATCTGTTGTAAACGTTAGAACGTTTAAAAACAAAGGAATAAATACAATGACATATTATTTAATGTATTACCATAAACCAATTATTAATAAAACATGAAGTTTAAATAACAGAACGTTATTACTTACTATTCGTTGGAATTATATTTTAATAGCTGGTATGTATTGTATTAAATTCTTTATAGCTTTTCTGTTATTATTAAATCTTGAAAAATGTAAGTAGTGTATGTCTGTACATTTATTAGTTCTTAGATTTGCCTGCTATTCTTCCATTTTTACGGATTATCCGGAAAAATATATTTCCCAACCGACGCGGATAACTGGGAGTCTACTGTGTTCCCCCTAGTTCTTCTATACATCCATCATTCCTTCTTCTCATCCTTTTATTTTTCGTTTCTTGTTCCCTGTCTATTTTATTTCCCTCCACATGTTAAAATCTAGCTTTTTAGTTCTCTTTACATTTACTTAATGCCTATCACCACACTTCCACAACTGTAGTTGTAAATCATCACTTCTTTTCTCTCAGTAATACGTTCAATTCAATTTGTTACAATTCATAAAATAACGCATTCACACAACCAGTTAGGAGAAATCACATTTAGACTCACTCGCCAACCAACTGATTCAACTACGTAACAAACTAGGTGTAAAAAGCAAGCACGATTCTTGCCCACACCTTCCTGCCTGATTCACTTGAAAAAACGTCAGTTTTACTGAAAGGGCTGACGTCTTGCGAAGTGATTAAGGCAAATGAATGCAAGTTTCCGGATTCCGTACTTCCTCCGACATTTTAAAACAGACCTAACTTCCCTGTCACGCAAACTAAATTATGTGCGGAACACAGAGAAACTCGTAACGGCATCTGCAAATCATTAACAGACCAACACGTCTCATTTAGGCTTGATATTTTTATTTGTAGTGTTCTGTCTGACGACAGGTCCATATGAACAGGATCCTTCCATCCTTTTCTCGGACTGGGACCTGTTCATATACGTTCTTGGCAGATGATCCAAAAGTGGTTTGCCATTGCCTTCTTCTGTGTGTGAATGGAGTAATTGTTGGGATGCCACGGAGAAACCGGGGAAGAGCCCGGAGGAAAACTCCGTGTTGCCTAGACCACGGCCTTGCCCAACACAAGTTATAAATTCGGGCACCGCCGGGAATCGAACCCGAGACCCCAGGATTACAAGGCCAGCGTTCTGACCGCTAGACCACCGTCGGTCAAGAGGCTTGATATGCGAATAAAAAATATTTTGAAAAGCAACCCGCACGAGTTGTTTTTCATATAACACACCTTTATTTTTCCCTTTACGTCATTAAGTATTCATTACATTACAAATATAACAAATACAAGTTTATATATCTTAATGAGATCAACTTCACGTCACCTATTAATTTTTGTTTCATGATCAATTTTTGATATATTTTATATTAGAACTCTATTGAGGACATGTAAATATGGCATTAAAATTTTAAGTGTGTACAAAATTAACTTCGTCTGATAACGTTTAAACCCCCTCCCCCTCCCCAACGCCTAATACCACGTCCAGAAATCCGCTGAGTAATTTCCGAGTTGAAGACTATTCTAATGCCATGCTAATGTGTGCCTCCAAGATCGGTCGGGTATGTACATCTCATGTGAAAAAAAGCACTTAAAGAAGTCTACAAAGTTAACAAGAGGAGTCAATCTTAGAAAAAAAACATGGGTATTTACACCAACTGGTTTTATCTTGCTCAAGACAGTCTTACTGCAGGCGTGAAGATGACGGATTTCCGATTTCTGAGCAACTACAGACTGCTTAAGTCAGTCAGTTTAGTTAGTCACCGGAAAGGCGTTTCAAAACATGTGACGTCAGTTGTTAAATATGAAGGCACGTCTCTTGAAGAGCAAGGCTGGGCCATCAACCTCAGCAACGAGAGGTTTGTGATTATTCCAAATGTTTGTACTAATACAGTTCCATGAATCTTTTACATGCTACACGAGTATTAGAGGCATCGCTTAGTTAGAACAGCATTCCAAAGGACCAGAATTCGATACACCATGGAACTGAAACAAACAATACTCACAAACTGAACAGCCTATCACAAATAGACGCCTCCTATTCATATGTTCATTAAGTCCAATACACAATAGCTGCCTACAAACGGACACATCATGCTATCTGTCGTATTGTCTCTCTCTCTCTCTCTCGGGGGTAAAATTAGATCGAAGGGCAAACGAATCCAACAGAACCTAAATTATGTAACAAAATAATGGGAGAAAAATACAATGAAGAGTTTCATACCTGTTAATCTTCATTTAATGTACTTAAGGTGATAAAATTCGGAAAATGTAATTAATAGACTGTTTATATAAAAAGCACGAGGAAAAGAAATTCACATGATAATCTTAAAGTAAAATCTCAGAAGAAGAGACAATTTTAGTGACATCGCAGTACGAGGAATATAACGCGAAAAATATCTGAGAAACGTATTGTAAAGATGCGTGTTGAATTAAAATATTTCACAATTCATTTCAATGACGGAATTTTGTAAAAACAATAATGGACCTTCAGATTCCATAAAAGCAGACATTATCTTGGCCAGGTGAAAAATTACGGTCGATCTCAATCATAAGAAGTAATCAGCATTCGACTAAAACAAGATGTCGGCCTATACAACACAAAATATCTACAGCGTTTCGTTTATAGTATTTGTTGATCATTTATATCAAGAGTGCACAAGTAACAAATAAGAAAGAGAACAAAAATCACCACGGAGACCCATGACACCTTCTATATTTGATAATGAAATCCGAAAATTCGACATCGCTAACAACAAAGCTACACCCCACTCCACCCCATCCCCCACGCCCACTACCACTGGCCAGCATCTCCGACCAGTCCAACAAAGCTGCTCACATCGTCACAATCTGCGTGTGTGTGTGTGTGTGTGTGTATCTTTTCTATTTCCGAAGTTGTCGCATTCAAACGGGTTTCCCCACCAGATTGTTGTGCACATTTCCTCTTTCCTGGTGTGACGCAATACTTGCAGGGGAGCGCAGAACGGACTCTGTTCCTTCAAAATCCTAAACAAAAATACTGCATGGCGCACAAGTCTCCTAAAACCAGGCAATTTCCTGACCAGCTGAGAAACCATCACAGTTTCAATGAAGACCCTACACAATGGTGTCAGTTACACGGAAATTCCTGCATATGACACTCCGTGGAATCTTGATCCTGGTTCCCCATACCAAGACAAACATATGTATCTCCCCTTGCTTCAGCTATGAGAGACGCCCGTGTTTTCGAAGCAAACGTATCCCTCCACTCTGCGTTAAATAAAACCAAAAATACCAGAGATTGTATGAAAACAGTAAAGAAACCACGTACTACGATATAACACGGTTTCCCAGTACCTGTCTGCGTCAGTACTCAAGTCGTGACAAAAGCTGAGGGAGAATAAACAAAACTAAAGTACGAAAGAAATATGTCAACATCAGCATACAAGTTTGTCATACAGCTTTACACTTACTGTTAAGAACAAGAATAAGCAGTAGGATTTGAGTTTCTCACGACGGCGAGTGCGAAGATGGCTGTATTCTGGGTTGTAGTACCGCGCAGTCTGGCAGAAGTTTAGTGACGTTTTATGATGGAGGCAGCAGGCACCTCTGAAACGTCAGTAAACTTCTACCAGACTACTACACGGCGCAACTCAGAAGACAGTAACTTTCATGAACAAGTACGCCACATCGAATTTTGTAGGGTCCGTAGATTTCTAACGATGGAGCGTTACTTTGTTTTAAATTGTCCAGGTTTGATGCTAGCTCAACCAGGAGACCCAATAAATAGATTTCTCTGTTTATCCCTTTTTATCTGATGACGGAAGCAGAATCCAACTTCCTAAAAAGTAATTTTAACATTTCGACGATGAACACGTCCACAGGTTCAAATATTTTTAAGCATTTTATGTTCAAACACTTGTTATTTCCATTGTTCCTTCAAAGTGGATTATCGTCACCAGGGTGCTGAACAGAGCCATAATTACAAAGACAACTGAGAGGCCTAAATCGCTCGAAAACTGGTTCCACTTACCTAGACTAAGCATGTTGTCCACTGACACCAGATGAAGTTCAGAATCGAAAGAATCACATGTTTCACCATATAGACCCGACACGGCGTCACCAGCTCGGTTTAAATCATCAATGACAAAACACTCTTCCTGGGATTCCATTGTTCTTCGCTTCGAGTGGCAGCGTGTGAGAAATTAAAACGCCTCACAGAATTAGATCTGATCACAGAATCTTCACTCCAGTTATTTAGTAATAACTGCAGTATAAATAAAAATTCTCTGCTTCGCTTAATCGTTGTGTGAATTATATGAGATCACAGACGTGCTATAAAGTAACAAATTTCTTTATATCTGAACGTCTATGAAAACTGCAGCTGATTTTCTGAGAGTATCAGTTATAAGCTCCAAACAAGACGCTTTGCGTATGATACAATATATACCAAAACTACTCAACACAACACCGACATAAAAATCTTTCACGTTAATACCTATCCATACACTTTTAAAAATCCATCAACATTAATTAAATTACGGAATATCACGTATAGAACACGCAAGACACGACATCACCGCAAAGACGACTGTCCAGTTCTGTCACAATGGTTTGCAGGGCAGATGTGTACGCAAGCAGTTTTCTACAAGGTTCCTGCGATTAAAGCAATGAGGTGGCTCGTCGACGAGGAAAAGAACATCGCGGTTTCGATACCATAGGACATGACGTCATCGCGGTTTCAACACCATAGGACATGACGTCATTGACACATTCACACGTAAATTAAACTTTCAAACATTCCTTTCCACGCCATCGAATATAATATAATGTACAAGATGGCTGTCTTCTGGGTTGTTGTGCCGTGTAGTCTGGTAGAAGTTTACCAACGTGCATTGATAAGCCAGGTTAGATAATAAACAGTCACTTCAGTGAAACTCTTATCTTCTGTCCTCCACAGTGGCCCAACTTTGCTCGGCATTTATCTAAATATATATTAATAAAACCCCTCTTTTATGGGCGATTCGAATACATGTGAGAGCGCTTATAACCAGTGGCATTTCCATCTGAGTTCGTTCTCATTTGCAAAATAGTAAGCCTACTTTCCCCAAACGCATTCTGAATATCGATGTTTCCGCACCACGACTCTAAAAGAAAACATGTCAGTATGGGACTTCAACCGCACAGCCTCAAATCGTATCTCCGTACAACAAACAGGCAGAAACATTAAGAAGGCCATTAAATACGACCACACTTTAGGTACAATTTGGCTGCACGCGACAGAGACAAGCGACCGAGGCAAGCGACAGAGACGGGAGACGGACACATCGCAGCTTGTCGCCACACACTTTTGAGGTGACGACCGACACATGCGGCAAAGTGTTTGTTTTCTTTGTTTTGTTGAGACATACGTGCACATATTCTGTGAAAAATGAGTACAAAAATGCTTCTAAAAAGGTTACTTGAAGAAGAAGAAGAAGATGATGTGTTGCTGTGTTATTTGTTGCGAAAGAAACAAAGAAAACCTATTCAAAACCAGACGTGAAGAAGGATCTTTCTGTCTGTTAATAAAGAATCATTTATCATTAGAATATTCCCATCCTTGTATGACTCGACCTCAGGATCGAACAGTGGTCGGTTTTCTGCTACCAATTCTACCAATTGCTCATCTTGGTCACCAGTAAATTTAATTTCTGCCATTATTTTACTCAACAACACACGTGCTGCCTGAGCCTGTCGCGAGACACTACTGGTCCGAGAGCGGTCTCCTGTGCTTTGTCTCTGTCGCTTGTCTTTGTCTCGCGATCGTAATTGTACTTCATACGATTGTACAGAGGGCAGACAGGAAGCGACCAGTCTCGGTCTCGTAACTCTGTCGCCTGCCTTGGTCGCTTGTCTCTGTCGCGTACAGCCAAATTGTACCTTTAGAGAAAACTGCACTGGTCACGCTGTTTTAACATATTAACGCAATTTTAAACATAACCAACCACAGAAAATATCGGTAATGATATTTTCACACAAATGACTCACCATCTGTCACTCCGGATCGCCAAGTACGCAAGAAATCCAGGAAGTGCCTCACAATTCATAGTAACAGTGTACAAATTGCAACGAATAAAACCACAAAGGAAGGAAACTGCGTTCGCTTCAGATTAACAAGCAACGGTCACGATTACTGGTATTACAAGCTCATGCACTGGCTTGGTACACTTTAGGATTCCGAAGGATTACAGCTTATAGATCTTAAAACCAAAATGCTTAATTATGTCCACCAAACAAATTCCACGTCAGGCCATAGAGTTTCAAGCAGTATCATCGTCTGGTGCTTCAAAGCCACAACAAATAAATAAGCAAAGCGGTGAATAAAATAATAACCAGAAATAAATCATAATTTAGACCAAGAATGGGCAACCTTTAAGATGCTTCGGGCCGGTTCTAATTTTTCTACCATGGCCGCGGGCCATCATATTACATATCAAGTAAATTATTACCATTCGCTAAAAAAATTAAGTCTAAAATCGTGACTAGTGTAGTGTTAACAAAAATATAAAATCTAACACTGCTGGTCGGATAAAAACTGACGGCGGACCGGAATCGGCCCGCAGGCCGGGGGTTGTGGTTGTATATGTCAGATCTGTAAATTACCTATTCGCCGAACGCATTTGCATGTTTCAGAATTTATAAGCTGTAGCCAGAACTAATGTAATGTTTACACTGAGTACATTCTAAGCATTGCAAAAGGACATAAAACATTAACACTGATTCAGGTGCAGTGTTTATTATATCGTCAAAGTCACAAGCCCAGAGTGAATCCACTAACACATGACCTAATGCTTTATATATAGCACGTCATTTTCTCGCACAATTAACGCTTTATACACTGCCCTTCTTGGTTACACATAATTATATTTTAATTTACGCGTCACTACATGAAAACGTAATTGAACTTGTAGGATTTGAGGTTTTCACAGAGGTGAGTCTGAAGATTGCTGTCTTCTGAGTCATTGCGCCGTGTAGTCTGGTAGATTTCCACCAATGTTTCAGAGGTCATACTGCCTCCATCATAAGGGCGATGAATGTGCCAACGAGCCTTTTCCGCTACAGACTACACGGCGCAATAACCCAGAAGACAGCAATATTCGTAATTGAACTTCAACAAGCACGCACAACGCGAAATGATTGCCGTCTCTAGAACCTATTTCTGCCATCGAAATGGAATAATGTGCATGGCTTCTTCATCAAATAATTGGGTTTCGTACTACACCCTGCATTGCCAATGTCCGTCAAGCCGCTGTTTCAGTCAATCTTCATCCTATACTTTACTGTTCATATTTTTAGTATTAAGTGTTTCCAGACTTCGCTATTTTTGGATGTCGATCCATTCTCCTGGCCTTCTTATTTCTGTATTTACTTCTGTCGACATTTTGGTACTACATGATCTGTTGACAGCACCGCCAATCTTGTTTCAAAGATGGCGAGAAAGCAAACGCCATCTTCCTGTCTGCAGAGTTTTAAGCTTGCATCCAGTCTCTTAGCACAAATGGAACAGTGGAAGCAGCAAGAGTGCCGACCGGCACAGTTTTTGTCCTTCGAGTTCAATGTGCAACTCTGGCTTTCGGGGATGAGTCGCTTCGAATGTTGAGTCATTCTTCGTTTCGGCAATCATTGCAGTTGCTGTCTTCCTGGTGAATATATCAAAGATGCAATTCCAATGTTCTTCCCCGACTCACCCCGTGACTTTAAACGGTTCAATAATCAAAGTTCGAGTATTCTATATGTACACGGATTTTAACTTTTAAAAAACGTGTATTTATCTTTACGAGTTACCGACACATAAAATCTTAGTAAGAAAGGAAAAATATAATGTCTCCCTCGAGGAATGTACTTGCACATCAAGCTTCGATGTAAGCTGTATGTAAGCTTGGAAGCACGTTAAACAAAAACGTGATGAAACGGATTTAAATCTAAGCTTAACGAAACAACGAGAAAAATCAACACAATAAAAATATCTATAGTTCGCGCGTTTACATTTTCGAATGTGCAGAATGTAAAAACGAACTTAAACCAGCACCTATCAGTGTGTGGGTTGGCGTCATGTGCGCTAGTTGGAATGGAATCAAATGTACAGAGGACGCGATATATTCACATTATCATAAATAGCATTGACCGAATTCCAGCCAAGGGGATATCCGTACGACTGATTTTATACTCTCCAAATAACTAGGTATGAGTCAATAACGCCAGAGGAAAAAAGCATCTAACAACGCAGTTGAGCTGTTAGCACTCATGCTCAACATAAAAGAACCTCGGGTTCAAATCTCTGCTCGGACATCAATCCCTCCTTATAAATTACTGAATAACAGCTTAAAGCAGACTACTGCACATCCTTCCCAACTCATCAATCACAAACATTCTCACATTCGGCGCTACATAACGTATACGGATGAGAAATTGCCGTAAAATAAAACAATAATCTAGACGCCAAAGTTGCCGCTGTCTCTAAGCACTACGCCATGACAGTGCGTATGGGACATAGAAGTAAGGCTCCACGTATTATAGATCTTGGTACTAGATAAATGTAAGTAGTCACCATCACGTTCCAGCCGCTTTATTTCCGTGGGTAAAGTTCCGGTCGTGGCGGCAAAGTGATAAATCCCTTCTCTGATAGTATTACATTACTACTTTCTTTACTTCGGTCTTTGTACATAGTCGTTTGATATTTCTATTAAATTTAAAATATTCACGTTCCCAAGAATGGATCTTCCTTCGTATTCAGATAAAAAGGGGAGACACCTGTTCTGTTGGATCTTGTAGACGCCGGGAATAGCTACGTCAACCAGATCCAATACAGCAAGTCCTCCCCTTTCTACCTGAAGACGAGGAAGATCTACACTTGGAAAAGTTGTGATTTTTAAAGATTTTTAAACAACTTGCAACAGACGATGGATAACTTTAACAAAACAGAAAAATTCGTGCCCAGCTGTCAGTCAAGTAGAGGATTAAGTTGTCCCAGTGCCGAAGAATCATGTCATGAAAGTGCATGTGATATGTACAGAAAAAGTTGAACAATCTAGAACTGGAGACGTGTGGTCAGCTTCAAGTTCCAGGCGCTTTACTGCAGTGGAAAAGGGCCCGATGTTCACACCTAGGTACGCATGAATGTCACTGTGCCCTTGGGCGTAAGCCCAATTTTCAACAACAAACAATGCTTACCACTGTGTGCAGGTGACTGTGTTGGACAGACGCCCAGATTATTGCACGCTGACGAATTAACAAGTAACTTTCGCTTTGTCCGTCCGTCTATTCGTGATCTTAGTACCGCCAAAGCTCTCGCTCACGACAAAGATCTAAGATATTCAGCCACATTATAGATTGCATACTTACACATACACACACCGAATATAGCAGATTAAAGCAAGTATTCCCCAACTCTTGTATTCTGAGGTCCCTTGATGTGATTGTATCCCCCACTTACTCAAAATGTGATCTGGCAATTTCAAAATGTAAATACAAAT